GACCTTATGTTTCCAACTTCTCCGCATTTGTAGCACGCGCGTTGGTCGCACTTCAACAATCCTTCTTGTCCTTGACGTGACCCTCTCTTTTTGCTCCTTTCGAGTCTCGACAGCGTTCAACACATTGCTACCCAAGTTCTTCACATGCGACTTAATCTCGACTTGTTGTGCGAATTAGACCAACTTTCGGCTTTTCGTAGGGAGTCGGGTCGGTGGATGTCCAACCTCGACAACATAGTCATCCTCATGTTTGGGTCCGCGTAGTTAACAATGCCTTGAAGTACTAGGTTTTCCATACCCCCGCATGCATCGCTCACGGCCGTCAGATACAGGTAATGGTCCATCCAGCTTCTGTGTGCTGCCTTCGGTGCGGTGAATAGTTTCATGCTCTGTGCGGGTGAGATCTTCGTGCTGAAAGTTTGCAGCATCCTATTCAAGGAGTGGTCCAGAGTCTGGTTTTCAACCCACCAAGGCTCGACCTGCCGACGGTAGTAAAAATCTGGGCCTTGCCTCTTAGGTGTTGGCCCAGCACGTCGACCTTGATGTCCTCGGGTCATGCAAATCCGCATGCACGTTCCGCGAACCCAACTTGCCGGACAAATTCCTTGCCCCTTCCGATGACCCCACTACCAAGTACCTGGTAGAGTTCCTTGCCGTCAAATGGTTATAGTGCGAGTTTTTGCTCCCTCGCATCCGGCATCCCGTAGACTTGGGGTTCTTCGCCAACAAAAACCCTGTCCGGCATACCCACATCAGGGTATGCATTCGGAGGTGCCTCTTACCTGGGGCGAGCCGGTTCAGGTAACGCACCCATCCTGGCTTCCACGCCACCGTAGGCACCACGATGTGTTCCGTCGTTCCCGAAGTCTTGACGCCGTCCACCAAGGTCTGCTGGAGACTTCTTACGGGGAGGTGCTTCCTCCAAGGCCTGCAGGATCATCCCCGATCCTAGGACTGAACCGAAAAGAGACTCCGAAGGTCCCTTGACGATCTTGTTAGCATGCTCTTTCTGTGACGACTCCAAGCGATTTAAACGTTCGCTGATGTCCTCGAGCATCCCCATCATCTTGTCCATCGCCCCCATGGGCGCTGCCGACTTCTCTTCAAGTTGTTCCTCGGCGGGCTTGTTAAAACCATCGGTAACTTTGGTAGGTTTGGCTTGTGCAGCCGCACCGGCCTCGCGCTTGATCGTTGGGCTCATAACCTGTAGGAAAGTTGCGATTTGTAACTTTGTTGCACTTGTGTGCGAAGAGGTAGAAATAGAAGTGAATATATTATAATGTTATCTTCGCTCGCTAACACTGCAATATAAAATGCACTGCAACTTGACCATAACATGATTGCGTCCGTCTCTCCTCTTATCTTGTGAGCCGTCGCCATGTCGCCCAACAGGTCATGTCGCTGCCTCGTCCCGCCACCTGTTCGGTACCGTCTTATCAAAATACCTGTTACGACGTCTGTCACAGTCGTCACCTTATCTCACCATCTGTCACCGTCGTCGCCTCGCCTCACCATCTGTCAAGTCGTTTGTGGACTCGACCAATCAGGTGTCACTGTCACATGGTATAGTAGTTGAACCTGCAACACAACAATGACTGGCAAGACGTTTCTAAAAAGGCATTTCTAACAAGATACACAACTCTTATGTCAGTGAAGGACCTAACGAAAAAAATATTGTTAAGTTCTAGAAAGCTAACTTAATGGCTACATAATTCTGCCCTTTTAACAACAAGGAGAGGCTTCTATAGTCTATAAGGTCAATAGCTTAAGTGTTCAGGTCTAACGCATTAAGAGCTGTAGAGACCGGATTGTGCTCTCTGTCAAATGAGAGTTAACATAACTTATGTTGCAAAATAAGGAATTGTCCGAGACATAAGTACCCTGATTAAAGGGGACCTACCCTACGGTAAGGCTAATGACATATCATAGTAATCTCAACAAGAATTACTACTTTATGACTAACACACCAGTCAGTCATTAGTGTATGTGTATTAAGTACAACGGTATTCGCCAGCTCGTTACTTTAAGAATGAAGCCGCCGTTCATTCTCCAATAGTGCGACAGCATTGTTTGCCCGAGACTTCTCATGGTCAAACCCAAGCTGTCGCACAATGTCCTCTAAGCGGCGACGCTTATCCCGTTCGTGATCAGCATCACAACGGAGCTCACTAGTTACACGGGCAAACCCGTCAACTCAGCAGCCAAGTCCGATGAAAGAATCGGACAGGTTTTTCCCTCCACCACCGCATCCGCTGGTGGACTCCCATGGTGGGAAGCGCTTCCTCGTGGAACGCTTACTAAAGCACCGCGAGGTGAAGGGACGTCGGACGAGTTATCTCGTCCGGTGGCGTGGCTATCCGCCTGATGATCGACCCATCATTATAAGAGTACAGTATACCGATACCACCATATCTCATGAATCACATAATAAAAGGCAAACATCATATTTGCACTTTATGCATTCTTACTGATTACTTAACCGGTCTATAACCCCGTTAAAGTATTCTGAACCGTGTAACCCCGTTAAAGTATTCTGAACCGTGTAACCCCGTTAGTGCAGTCTGAAACGTGTAACCCCGTTAGAGTAGTCTGAAGCGTGTAACCCCGTTAGAGTAGTCTGAAGCGTGTAACCCCGTTAGAGTAGTCTAAATTGTGTAACCCCGTTTCGAAGGTCTTAAGCTCTGGAAACTGTATACAGTACTTTAAATTGTTGCCGCAAAACCTCGCCGTCACGTCACAAGTTCTGACAGCTTTACTAAGTGGGTTCCATTTGTGGCATTTGTACTAATTCTACTCTGTTTGTAAGAAAAAAAGACAAGTTTTCTTGGAAGCGCTAAAATAAATATAAATTCCAGGTGGTTTCTCGTCTCACATACAAACACTCAAGTTTATGGTTGCGATGTATGATAACAAGTATGTTGTAACATTCGTACTTAGAAAGGTAAGGGTACGGAATAGCGATCCGTCGGATATTTGATGAAGGGTTATAAATGATATTGTATGTCGAGTTGGCCTTGCATTGCATACGTATTGTGACTACAATTTGAAATCACCGACGATCGTTCCCTAACACATTCAAGTCACAATGACTCCCTCACGCTTTTTCACCTTTGATCCTGATATAGGGTTGATTACCTTTTGAGGGACATTATTGCAAAGGAGTGTACGCTGGGAATGTATCCTCAATTTTAGCTTTTAATGAGTTTAGGCCTTCTACCCGCCCAATCTCTTCCCAGCTACTACTTCAGACAGCAGTATTGCCTTCTAGCACCGAATTCCTTCGGAGCCGTCAACTGGAATGTACATGCAGAACTTGGTCGAAATGTTGCCAAACGTAATATCAGCATAGTTCTCTGTGAACACCCAGTCGGGTCCCGTTGAGTGGAACTGCACCTTCGCCCAGTACGGAGAAAAGTCAATTGAAAAGAAACCGTACCCATCATTTGCGTAGCTCCACTCGTTCATGACAAAGTCTTTCATATAATCCGTAATTCCACTTGCTGGTTCTTTCTTTTGACCACCACCAACTCCGTTTTCAATAAAGTAAGTCGAAAGTTTCGGCGAGTAGTCGACGTTGGCACCATGGGTGTGGCCATGAATGTAAATTTGAGCACCTGTACCATTCAAAGCATTGACCATCTTTTCCGTACCAATCTTTCCGTAGTGCGGTAAACCAAAGTGGGTGTTCACCATCTTCCACGTCGCTTTTGACTCGGTTGCCTCCTTCGCAAGCTTCATACGCGATTCATCGGACCACTCCGAGAATCTGGCAATGCAGGCATCGTACATGGCCACGTCTCCACCGGCACAATATTTGTCTCCGCGAGCAATGCTACCACATCCGCTACTATCATTCCCCGCATAGCCGTAACACTGGCAGCAGACAGTAATTGAACCGGCCACATCGGCATCATTCGTATCGATGTTGAAGATGTCGACGCTGACGTCGTTGACAGAATCGACCAGCTTCTCAATGTAGAATTGGTCTTTCAGGTTCCAGCGGTTGTTACTTGGACTGACGTATTCTGCTTGTAAACTAAATTTGTTGTCCAATCCTTGTAGCATTTCCGCCGAGCTGTTGCACCTGACAAGGTTATCGCCACTGTTGCAGATGTAGTTGGCACCACCGTAGTCGTGGTTGCCCATGACATTAAACCAAGGGACGGGAAGAAGACTGCTGCCGTTGTAAATGTCCTCGAATGAAACCTTGAAGCGAGGGTCACGGCTCTCACGACTATTAATGCCGACCCAGTAGAAATTATCCCCATGACCGCAGACAGCATCTGGTGACCGCCACTGTTGAGCTCGTAGATTCATTAAATATGCAACGGTTCTTTGAGCGTGGAGGTCCATGTTGGTATGACTGCCCGAGCAGCACGAACTGTCGTCCGGTGTGTTACCCCAATCGCCAATACCGAAGATTGACAAAGAGTACTTGGCGAGTTTTGGGTCCGGTAATTTGCTTTGACAAGAAGCAACGGCCACTGCCGCTACGAGGCTAAAGAGGGAGAAGGAGGTAAGCATTCCTACTGTGTTCGCTTTGGGTGCTCGGTTCGTAGAAAAATGAACAATGAAGTTGAGCAAAATGGTAACACCGCATAGTAATCTACATGCACTCGTCCAATCATTCAGGTATCTTCCGGATCAGACTGAAACTACGAGCCAGATGAATCGGATTACGGCTAACTAACCGCTACAAACCGGTTCACCTCACATAACGGGGCACTTAGAATGACACAGATTGTCCACTGATTACGTCCACGGAGAAATACTACAAGGATTAGACAACAGCTTCAAGTGGCAGCGGATTTCTTAGCTCGAAGAAGAAGAGTATAGAACCGCTGACCGTTTCTATACTCAGGCATAGAGGACTGGCGTCATCATCGACTTGATCATATTCGACAGCAATCATGACGATGTGTCCGATTCGATTGTTGGCTAGCTAGCCAACGGTGCTGATAACCATATTATTGTATAGATATCTTTCAAATATTGCCTTGTTGTGTCAAAAGTTAGGTTCCCAACAGTTATCGTCTCGGCTTTGTAGACGCTCGCATGTCATGGAGTTGTGTCCATCGCGGCTGCGAGGAGCTTATTTGTCTTTGCACACAGCCCAGAGTGTCTCAAATTGGAAGAAGAAGAGCTGGCTGTCGATGGACAAAATGTTTAGCTATACTGATTTGTGCATGTACAAAGATCTTTGTTAACCTAATGCACCATCAATACCGAATGGACGCATCAGATGATGATGGATGGTACGACAGATGTGTCGGTGGTCTGCCTACAACGATCAAAGAATCCAGTAGGTTTGGATGTAGCAGGTAGCATACATGTGACTAGAAAACTACTCTATTAAATTACCTCGGTATTGCCTCCAGGGCAAACGTACAATCAAGTGGTTCTACGGCTTGTCGAGGCAAACGACACTGCGCTGCCTACGGTATGAACGCCCATCGTAAGAACACCGCTAACCACTTTCGTGAGCGACACAATCCACCTTTTTTCCAATTGCGAGTGCTATACCTCATACCACCAATAAGCATGTCGTAGACATACTAAGCCACGTGAACCCATGAAAAAAATGTCATCCTGACAAACATATACGCACAAATGCCAAACAAGATGCCACAACACCATGTTCTAGAAAACACTTGAAATCGTCTTGGAATCACGTTGCAGCTTGTTTTAGTACGTAAGAGCTTCGATTTAGTTTCAAGAACTAACTTGGTTGCATGTCGACACCTTGAGGCGTACATCTTCTTCCAGATGACCATTGGCGAATGCATTGTCAACTTCTTACTGTTGATAGTCATACCATGATGACAACACACTGACAGGAAGACGCGAATCGAATTCATGTTCGCGACCGGAAAGTACGTATCGTAATAGTCAAGGCCATAGGCATGTCGATAACCCAATGCCACAGGTCGAACCTTAAACCGCTCAATTCATCATATTCATTTTGCTTAATGGCGAACACCCACTTGGTTCCGATCACCTTTTTTATTTAGAGATTTCTCCACGATTTTCTTTATGTCTTCTTCTTATGAAGTGCCTGTAACTTCATCTTGATCGCATCACACCACTGAGGAGAAGCCATTGTATCTTGGTATGTCGATGGAGTTTCGAATACTCAATGCGATTCTTTTTGATGCGCGCTCCACTGCGTGTTAAAACAATCGCATCAGACATTCCTACTGGAACCAAAGCTTAAGCGTCTTAATTTCATGATGACAACGCAAGCGGGGCATTTTCCACCATACTGAGATGATAGTTAAGTGAGCATTTATCGAATCTATTCAAGCGTCAAAAAGAAATCGCATTGCGATGCAATGGCGTACCTCAATCAAAGAGGTGGTGTGATGCAATCGAGATCAAGTAACAGGACAAGCTGCTGCAATGTAGCTCCAAGACGATTTCTGGTGTTTCTTAGAACATGAGTGTGTAGCAGTTTCGGATCCGTGCGTTTATGTTCATCAAGAAATTTTCATGGGTTTACGTGACTTTGTATGTCGACGACATGTTTATTGGAAACGTTTCAGGCGACTCAATTAAGAAAATTGCAGACGAGTTGTCGAGTCATTGTCAGCTAGATACTGGAAAAGTGCGGTTCATTCTCGGCATCGAAAATGGATACGAGATGAGCTCAAGATCTCTCAAATCACATGCATTGCCAAAATGCTTGTAAAATTCAACCAAGTCGATTAGGAAATCAGTATACAATCCGAGTGTGGAAGGCGGTCAAATGTGAAGAGAAGGTGGAGAATCGTCCGTCTCAATCTCTGGTGGGATCACTTCTATGTGGCGACTGGAACATGACCGGATATTGCGTTCGCGGTGTGTCAGTTGAGTCGACATTTGGAAAAACCAAGTGAAGAGCACTGGATTGCGGCTATTCGTGCTGCGCTACCTAAAGTCAACTGCAACTAACGGAATATGCTATTGAGGAAGGTCAGGTGAACTGAAGCTGAGCGCATTCAGTGATGCTGACTGGGGAAGCAGCAAGGATAATTGACGTTCTACATCAGGCGTGATGGTGATGATCAACAACTTTCCAGCCATTTTCAAATCAAGATTACAAAATCTAAGCACTACGGAAGCAGAATATGTGACACCATCATTGTGTGTTCAAGAAGTACTGTTCATTTATGAAGATGTAGAACCAGATTGACAATCCAATTATTGTACACGGAGACAACTAGAGTTCAATTGCTATCGCACAAATAACGGATATCAAAGTCGTGCCAAGCTCATTAGTAGACGATATCATTTTGTCCGTGATCAAGTCAAGACCAACGTTATTCAGCTAGAGTATATCGATTCAAGCAACAGCTCACCGATTTCCTGACCAAGGCAATTTCGACGAAGAGGTTTCAATTTCTCGTGGCGAAGTCAAACATTGGGCACTTTCCGTCGAGCAGGAGTG